ATATATGTATGTATTATATTGGATACAGGGTCTCACTACACAGCTTAGACTCATAGTGATCCTCTTGCCTCAGCCTCCGCAGCACTGAGATTACAGGCATGCCCCACACTTGGTTTTGGTGGCTGGCATGGCACTGGTGTTGGCATGGCATGTGGTACTAGGGATTGAATCCAGGCCCTTGCACTTGCCAGACAGGCGCTTAGACCGCTGAGCTATCTGCCCAGTGGGATTCCCTGGTTTTCATCCTCTTCCCCTCTTGAACATTTTATGAAAGTTTCACTTATGAAGATCAGTTGTTTTTGTGTGGGTTTCATTTTTGTTCTGTTTTTTGAGATGAGGGTCTTGCTATGTAGTTCAAATCAGCCTTGAATTCACTGAGTAGCCCAGGCTGACCTCAGACTTGCAGTGATCCTTCTGCCTGAGTACTGGAATTACAGGCATGTACCACCGTACCCGGTCAAGATTGGTCATTTTGGGCCAGGGAGATAGCTCAGTAAAATAAATGCTCTTGTCTGGCAAGTGCAAGGTCCAGAGTTCAATCCCCAGTAACACCAAAAACAAAAACAAAAAATTGTTCATTTCTGGACACTGACATTATTCAGTTAATTACTCTTAAGTTCCCTGCATTCTAAGTTCTGGAGACCAGGGCTCTGACCATTTATGTTTCTGTTCTTTCTCCCTAAATGTATGACTTGTCTCCTTTAGGGCACTTCCTTGAGCCAGGGCTGTCTCTTTTCTTCTTCTAACCCTTCTCCACAATCCAGTAAGATAATCCAAGTACAATACTTAAAAAAAAAAAAGTTGGGGCCAGGGAGATGGCTCAGTGGAATAAGTGCTTTCCTGGCAAGTGCAAGGGCCTGAGTTCAATCCCCGGTTCTGCAAAAAAAAAAGAAAAGTGGAATCCTCACCAGCCTCTGTCTCTATCCCACAGAATAATGATCTCCTTTGGGAAGACTATGAAGAGAAATTGGCTGACCAGGCTTTGAGGACCATGGAAAACTATGTAGCTCAGTTCAGTGAGATTAAGGTACTTGATTTACAGAATGGAAACTAGGTTGTATATGACCTGTACCAGTTAGAAAACATGTTCAGGTTAAACATTACAAGTAGCATTAGAGCACATGTTTAGCAATGAAATTACATAGGTTAGGAAAAGGATTAAGGTTGAGAATTAGAAGGTTAGAATGGAAGGTTAAAGGTAGCATCAAAGTGATTTTTTTTTTTTAAAATATGGTATCTTAAAAAAAAAAACAAAAACATGGTATATAGTTCAGGCTGGCCTTGAATTCAGTGTGTAGCCCAGGCTGGCCTTAAACTCTTGCAATCTCCCTGCCTCATCCACCAGAGTGCTGGGATTACAGGCATGGGGCACCATGCCCGGCCTGAAAGTGATACTTAAATTTAAATTTCAGTGAGCCAGCTTTGGGCTCAATGGATCAGTGAATAAAATCTAGGTCAGGGCATTCTTTTTAGATGTGAGAAACAGTTAATGGGAAGAAAGGCAGAAGAGGAAATACTTGAAACTGTTAGATGAAAAGGAACTCAGCCTGTTCTGAACTGCTCTAGAAGGCAGAATTAGAATTTAGCTGTTTACTCAACTAAATTTATGAAACTTCTTATCTGTTGGTCATGGTGTTAAGTTTAGATTAAGAGGAAGAAATTGGATTCAGGCAAATTTAAGTTTCCAAACTTTTGTTACTGATTAAGTTTCAACCAGGTGTGGTAGCACATGCTGTAATCCTAACTACTGGAGCCAAGGCAGAAGGATGGCAAATTCAAGGCCAGCCTGTGAACTCAGACCTCAAAATAAAAGCAAGTTAGGGGTATACTCCCTGAATTCAATCCCCAGTTTGAGAGACAGAGAGAGATTGATTTTTTAAAAATGAAATATACTAATTATTCTCTGCTCGAGTGCAAGGTAAACTACTTCTTACCTTAGATATTATATAGGAGCCTCATGTATCTTATAGGAAGTTAACAAGCTAATCACTAAGATCTTTTCAGATTCTGTAACTGAGATGAGGTGGGCCGATTCTGCAATTCTACAGAATTTACCTCTC